ATCATGATTTTGCTCCACCATCCCTCTATCTTTCCCTCCACTGACCATCTAACCCCCTGACCCAAAAACCTTAAGAAGCCTGCCTCTCTACACTCCATGGACTCCTACAAACTTGACCATGCAGGAATGCCATCAGGCCTCCCAGCGAGGCCTCCCAGCGAGGCTTGTGTCTTCAGCTTTACCTACACATGCATCCCGTACCCTCTCTCCATGCCCAAGTTCCTGGAGTTACAAGTCACATCTGATGTTTCTCTTCAGTCACCACATCCATGTATCTAAAATGCATTTTTGCTGACTTCAAAGAGCCTTCCCAGGCTTCTCTCTCCTTCTCCCTGTTATTGAGCACATACCCACTTCCCCTAACTCATTCTCCCAGAGGACAAGACAGACTTGCACCAGCAGGTATCAAGACCACAAGCAAAGTCCTCCACCATGAATCTGTCTAGAAGGTGGGAAGCAGATCTTTGGTGAAAGGAGGAAGGGATTGCCACACTTATTTTCCATGACTATTCTGGCTGCAAATAATAAAAACCCATGTCAAACTGGGCAGAACCAGGAGTTGTAACTCGTAGAAAGAAAGTGCCTCCTTCCCCAGAGTTCTAACCAAGTCTCAAGAATGACTCACCCAGTGTCCAGTCCTGAACCCAGTCCTGAGTCTATGTCTGTTCCTGGAGCTGGATGGAGTGACCCCACAAAACTTATGACCTTAAAGAGGGGAGACATGGTACCCCAATGCAAAATCAAAATACTGTTCGCACAAGGAGACATGAAGGCTGGGCTAACAAGCACAACAAATGTCTACTGCCATCTGCATCCTCTCTATTCTCATCCCTTTTCTCATCAGAATAGTAAGACACAGAGCTGGAAGTGTCTCCTCCCTTGAGAAACATCTTCAAGGATGTTGAAGGATTGGACAAGGTCAGAAAAGAAGCAGGTTGATGGGAGTTGGGGGTGGGGTAGTAAATCACCTAATATTGGCATTGACCCTAAGTTTAGAGAGAAAAAGGAGTGAATGGGGGTCATATTTATTCATTTTTCACATTGAAATCCCCAGCTCTGTTCCACCTTGAGGCCTTTCTCACTCGCTGTTGATTGCTGGTCAGACTTTACAGACTTCAGAACATTTTCCTTAATTATATGTCTGTATTTAAAAAAAAAATAAATAGCAGCGCTTATCACTCTCCCTGCACATGGGGACCTGGATGAGCCTGCCGACGCAAAGCAGTTTCTAAGCAACTTGTGGAGCTGGTGTGTAATGCAACAGCCGCGAGATTTGGAGGAAAAATAAAGCCCATGGAAACTCAAGGTGGAACCAATTGTGATTGGTTCATAAAGGCTGCACAGGGTCCTTTGGGAGGTTAATTCCATTTCAGGCTGCTGGAAAGGGGCTTGTTTCTAGAGAGTCAGGGCCTCTCTCGTGTGGGACGCTTGATAAGTGGGCTCTTGGAGGAGTCCAATAAGCACTCTGTCCTAGGGAGGCTGGGGACTGATAACATGTGACAGCAGAAATGCTGATGTTCAGAACCAAGAGAAGCTCTAAGCTTTCCAAGAAACTCCAGGGAAGCAGGTGAAGACAGGAGAGGCAAGGAAAAGTTTCCTGGTGCCCCAACTACCCTCAGCACAGGGCAACATTATTAGCAAAGAGGAGGGGTTGGTATTCTGACTGAGAACAGTAAAAACATCCACAGGACTGAACTTACAGCCTACAAAGAGAATGGAGAATTGCAAGCAAACTGGTGTCATGAAAAAGTGCACATGCTTTCATGTCAGTGTAACCAGTATTTGCATCTGCCTGCAACACACACCATCTGTGTGACTCAAGGAGAGTCCCTTTGCTGAAGTTTTTCTGCTGGTATTTTTTTAAGCAGGAAAAAAACAGGTGCTTCAGGATTAAATGAGAGAATGACTACAAAGCTCCATGTTTTTTAATTTATTTACCCATTCTACAGGGGCCTTAGAGGCCTATAGCATGCCAGCACCTGGGGCTGTGAGTACAGGAGCCACGTGGCCTTCCTGGGCCTGGATGCTCATGGCAGCTGGAGCCTCACCACAGACCAGGCAGAGAGAGAGGACAACAAGTCTATGAGGTGAGGGCTAGCTGGGGTGTGCAGTAGGGAGCTCTGTGGGCAGCTGGTGCAGGGTGAAGGGGAGACAGAGTCACCTCCATTTCACAACAGGGACAGTTGTGATCCAGGAAGCTGGCACACTGGATCTCCCAGGACCTTGTAAGTTTTGCTATGGTGTTTGTGCTTTGTCTTGGGTGTAGAAAAGTGCAGTGGATAAGAGTTTTATTTTAGAATGCTTACTCGGGCTGCTGGGAGGATTAAAATGGGTTTGAGGAATGAAGTGCATCAGATTGGAGACAAGGCCACAGTAGAAATGACTGAGCAGAAGATGTCAGTGCCCTGCCCCTATTCTCTCAACCAGAGCACTTGAAACACTCAGTTACTCATCCCCTAGGGCTGGCATCTCTTGGCCTGAGGACCTTCTCTTGTCCCTCTTCTGCAACCCACACAGAAGGCCACATGCAGGGATTAATTGATGTTAGCGTATAAACACCATAGTTTTCTCACTCCTTGGGTAGCTTTGTTCTAAGATATGTCTACACTGGCTTCCAGAGTCTCTACAATGGGATTAAAAGCCAATTGTCCACAGCAGCAGCTGGAAAGCCAATGCACACTATCCTGGCTCCTCCCATTCTCTAACTCTCTTGCCTTCTTGCCCACTAGAGTCCTCTCACTTCTAAATGACAAAACAAACCCTTGTCTCAGCATCAGCTGCTGGTGGGACTCAAACAAAGCAGAACTGTTTTGAAGTGTATTTGATGCTGAGAAGGAGAAAGCAGACTGGAGTTTATAGGAGGACAGACTTGGGGAATAAAGTTTGCCTATTATGCTCCCCCCTAATTCCATTTCACTCCATTATGCTACAGGAATATGAAGGGCTAAGTGGGAATCAGGAGATTCCATCTCAGGCACTATATGTGTCATCAATTAACTCTTTTTTAAAAAGATTTTTTATTTATTTTTATACTAGAACTGGGTTACAGGCCAGATGTGTGGGAGGGTGAGAGGATTCACCAGAGACAGAGCAAAGAACAGAACAGGCAGACTGATGAAATACACTGCTGAGGGGAGCAGCGAGCGAGACAGGAGAGGTCTGCTGCACCATGTGGGATTCTCGCCGGCCGGCTGGGATTGAACCCGCACTGCAGAGGCTGCAGACAGCTTCACAGTGTGGCACTCAACCACCTACACCACCAGGGAGGCCCCTAATTCTTTTTTTTTTTTTTTTAAGGTTTATTTATTCATACAAGAGCCAGGGTACAGGCCAGAGGTGCTAGAGGGTGAGAGAATTCACCAGAGACAGAGCAGAGAGCAGAACAGGCAGACGGATGAAGACACTGCTGAGGGAAGTAGTGGGAGAGGCAGGAGAGACCTGCTCCACCATGTGGGTATCTCCCTGGCCAGTCGGGAATCAAACCCTTGCTACAAAGGCTGCGAACAGCTTCACAGCACTGCACTCAACCCGCTATGCCACCGGGAAAACCCGTCATCATTTAATTCTTCATGGAACCCACCACCCACCCACCCATGAGTCCTGGAATTATAGGGAAGATTTCTAAAATATAAAGTTTTGCTTAAAGCATCTTCTGGCATTCTCTTCCAGCTAATGTCGCAGAAGAAAGTTTGGTGCCTACATTACCAATGCCCAAGACCCTGCTATGGAATTATTTGTCAGGGTAGGAACCAAGTTCTGGAAGGAATTCAGTGCTGGGTTAAAAATTCTCCGAGTTCTACCATTTGGCATGCATTCATTTGCTAATTGGAAATTCAGTAAATATTTATTAAGTGCCTCTTGTGTGCCAGGCCTCATTGTAGGCCCTATGAATGTGATCTTGAATAAAGCTAGAGTCTCCTTTTTTCTCCACATGTCCAGATGGATTGGCAATGGTTGTTTTCCACTCTGGGCTCTCTGAGCTATATGCTCCATTGAAAATAAGAAAAGCAGATTCCTCCTGCTCAACATGAACCTCTTCTCTTGCTATGACTCAAAGTAATGAAAAAAGGTCAACAATCCAATAGAACAGAAAAATGGGCAAGTGACTGAGACTGTTCACCAAAAGAAAAGCAAAGACTCTTAAACATGTGTAAAGATTCAAAAGAAATAGAAAAGTTATCAGCACATCAAGATTCAAAACACTGATTATCCACAATTATGTTGTGGAAGATATAGAAAAATAGGCACTTTCTATACTGCCAATAGAAGCATAAGTTGTAAAATCTCTGTGAAGGAAATTTGGAAACTCTCTTCAACAACACAAATGCTTCATATGATTTGACTCCAAGTGCAATGAGATGAGCTCACACGCATGAGCAATAACATGTCTGTAGGGATAGGGTCACTGCAGCACTACTTGTGTTAGCAAAAGATTAGAAGCTAAATGATACAAGCTAAATGATTAGAAGCTAAATGATACAATCATTTAGATTACAAGCTAAATGATAATCAACTCGGAGGTGGTTAAATTAATCATAATATGTCCATTAATGAAATAATATGCAGCTAAAAAATGGAAACCACTTATGTACTATAAGGAAAGATACTGAAAAAATTTTAAGATATATAAAAATACATAAAATATGCTATCATTTGCAGAATGTGTAGATGTATATACTGTACATTTTGAATATATACAGTCACTCATTTGCATATGCACAAAATATTTCTGAAATGTACACAAGATATATTTAATGCTGTCTTAAAAGAACACATTGACTAGAAAACACTGGATCACTAGAGGGTAGGTATGAGAAGAACATTTTGTTCAAAATCCTCTATCTTTTGAATTTCAAAGCATGTGCATATATTATGTGTATTTAAAATTAAAAAGAAATAAATTGAAAATAAATTCCCTTGGAGTTCTAGGGCATTAATTGCACCTTGCCTCCAAGTAGCGATGGGGTAATAAATGCTGTGACAAAGCACAAACAGCTCACATCAAAGCTGGACACAGGTGGGGTATTTTCTTCCAAGCTGTCTGTTTGCATCTTGCGGCATTCCCGTCATGGTCTTTGATGTCACTCTGGTTTCATCCAGCTAGCAGATGAAGTAAAGAGAAAGCTTGAGGAAAGCATACTGAACACTTCAATCACTCCAGCCAAGAAATAACACTCACCACTTCTGCTCATATTACGTTTCGCCAGAATTAATGATATCATCTTATCTAGATGGAAGAAGGCTGGGAAATTTTGTGCTCCTACGTGACCGGGAAGAAAAGAAATGTTTTGGAGAGCACATAACATTCTCTCTGCCATAAAGGGTCATAGTGGGCCTTCCTGGCAACTGTACTAAGATTCTAGAGATTCTGTTGGTCATTTCCTTAATCAACTACTTGTCTGTTGATTTTTTCAGATTTTCATTTTTTAGAGCAGTTTCTAAAGTTCACAGCAACACTGAAAGGAAATTACAGAAATTTCTCATTACCCCTGTTCCCACATAAGCATAGACTCTCAGATAGCAAGATCCCCCACCAGAGTTTTACAATTTATCAACCTACACTGATGCATCATAATCACCCAATGTCCATAGTTTACATTAGGGCTCATTCTTGGTGTTAAACATTCTATGAATTTTATATGTTAATTTTCATTGTGTAATGAATCACCCAAAACTTAGTGCCTTTAAACAACAACTATTTCTTTAGCTCATGATTCTCTATGTTGACAACTTGAGCTGGGTTCAAGTGGTTAGTATTTCTGGTCTCGACTCAGTCACAACTATGCAATCAGCTACCAGGTCAGCAGGAAACTGACTGATCGAGGGTGGCCTCAGCTAAGATGTCGTATCTCCTTTCACCATGTCTTCACCTTTGGCTTGCTAGCCTGGGCTTGTCATATGACTGTTGATCTGGCTCAGAATAGGCACAATGCCATGCTATATAGGCATCTCAGACTCAAAGGATGCGGAAACAGACTCCACCTACTGATGAGAGGAAATGCAGGAAGGGGGATAATCACAGCCATGCTTGCCATCCACCACAGCTTTGTTCAAAGACCTTTGTGAAAAAAATTAGTTCACTCCATGCCTAGGCCACTCTGGGAATATTTTTTGGTGAAGTTGCTGACCAAGCACAGCTTTCTACTATAAAAGACCATGGGACTGTGCCCATAACCCCTGGTATCGAAACCCAGTATCTATGCAGCTGAACCACAGATGCTAAAGTAAACCAAGAAGACCGCAGACATGACAAACAATGGAAAATTAATGGACAATTTTTCTAATAATAAAAATAATTGATTCTTAGAGTTAGAATTGACCTTAGAGATCACTTAATCTAGTGGTTTTTGAAATTGCGTGACATGAAGCCATGGGGTTCCAAGAAGGTGATTCATGAGTTCACTGAGGGGAAAGCCAAACACAAGCAGTGGCACAGGGGAACTCTGGGCCTCCTGCTCCTACTCCAACCAGGGCATCTGCAATTTTTTATAACAAAGACATCATTAGCCACCTATTATAAAGATCCTTCTCCTCCTTACACAAATGTTGTCCTGGAAATACCCCATGGTTTTTGAGATCCATTCCACTTTTCCTACCCGGCACCTTGCCAGGAATCAATATATGCTGAAGGGCTGCTACACACAAAGCACTGTGGTAGGTACTTTGATTCTATCTGCCATGAGGCTTAAGGATCTGTCTTCTCTTTTATTCTGGACAGCTGCTTCTCAACTCACCTTCCAAGTCAAGCTTTTGTTCCAGTCCAAGTTCCCAGCCCCCATCACTGCTCCATCCCAGGGTTCTGCTGTGAGGAACACCCCTGCTTCTTCAATCCAGGCAGCACCCAGGTTCACGCTGCCTCAGTCAGCTCTAGTCCACCAAGAAGAGCTTTCCAGTTCGAGCACCATGAGATCCTCTTAAGTCCCCCTGCTCCCACTTTTGTGTTCCTGGATTCATCACCAGGTCTATGACTTCTTGCAAAGCAAGAAACAGGCAATGAAGCTGCTTTTTGGGAAAACAAAAACAAGGTAATGAGGAGGGTTTATTTTAGAGTCTTAACTTCCAAGTGTTTAATCTGTTTAGCTGAGAAATCTTTAATTATCTACTTCTGTATCCTACTCATAATCTTGATTCAGTTTTATTGTTAGATGATTCATCATCTACTATGTTTTAATCAGTGAGCCACCTCAAAACTCTTTGGAAGTAAGCAAGAAAATGATCACATGCCAGTGCATACACACACTCAAATATAGACATGCATATATGCTGCTGCCTTCTCATTGCATGTGTGTATATATGTATGCATGCATGCATGCATGTGTGTATACCTATATATACACACATACATGCATGTATGTGTGTACATATATATGCACACATGCATTATATATATATATATACATACATAAAATCTCTTTGTGGAAGAGATGCCATTCACAAGAATGGGACTTTAAAATTAAACTGATTCAGTTCTTTGAAGACTAATGGGGTTTTACTTTCTCACCTTTTTCTAAGATTGGTTCAGAAAGAATCAGGTAGGACTCACTCCATTACTCAGTTATTAGCAATGCATTCATCTGGATCTCAAAGGACATTCCAGCGCTCAGGTGTGAATGGAGATGCTAGGACAGCCTTAGAAACTGGGAACCTCCACAGTGATATGAGGGGGCTGACAATGCTGGCTCACCCCTCTGCTTCCCATGCCCTAGAAATTCATCATCAGATCTTTCTTTAGTAGTCAGGTGGTAGCCTGAAGTGTGTGTTTGCTTGTGTATACATGTGTGTCTGTGTGTGCTTGTGTGTATATGTGTCTGCACATGTGTGCACATGGACACTCGTTGGAAGGGGGAGTGTAGTTGGGCTGAGGCCTGGAGGCCCGTCTTTCCCCAGTCTCAGAAAATCCGGCCCCTGCACATGCGCAGCTGCAACTGCCTAGCTTTTTGATCAGGACCCCATGCTGTGCCTTGTTCAGGGAATTTTTAAATTCTCTTTCATTTTATTGAGCGACTTTCCTCCCCACCTCCCACCCCAGAGTCAGGTCTCAGGATTATTGGGTCCTTCTCATTGATTTGTTTTTCTGACCTTTGTAGTAGATGCAGAAATATATGGATGGAACAAAAAAGGCAGGAAGAAAAGGAGGGCGCCTGGGCAGCCTCTGGAAGGGAGGCTGCATTGGAGAGTCTCTGGTCTGATCACAGATGACAGTAAAGAGGCGAGCAGGTGGCAGCAGCCTGGTGCCCAAGAAGGGGCAACCAAGAAGGGGGAGCCCCTGGCATGTGGGGGCCAGCCACTGAAGCCCAACCTACAGTCACCACCCTGCGTTTCCCCACAGACATGAGAAAGTGACGCTGGACCTCTGTGTCTCTACATTTGCTTTCTGTTGAAAAGCCTCTGGTATCAGCTCCCGTTCCTCATTCTTCAGTGAAAACCTGCAGCACCTGCTCCTCGTGAGGCGCTGCACTGGAGCCAGGAATGCACTCTTTTTCCCTTTTCCTTCCCATGAGCCCCGTTTGTGTATTAAATCCCACATCCTCGGGCCAACCACACAGGTGCGTGATCCATCACCTGACACTGAGGAGGGGGAAATGGATGTTTGTGGAGTACTGACACGGGCCAGCACTGCGAAGGGGGTTTCATTAGTATCTCAGGGTATGGGGCAAGACTTTCCCTGCTGTTCCAGAAACAGAAGCTCATTGCCAACTAGAAGGCAGGGCTGGATGTGAGGAGTGAGACTGCTCCCGAAGGTGTGAGTGCTTTCCCACCTCAAGGCCAAGTGAGAAGACCCCAACAGTCAGTGCTAAAGATCTGGGGTCCCTGGCCCCTCTACCCTTGGGATGCAGTGGGGCCACCTGAGCAGGGAACATGAGAAAGAGAGAGGTACATGCACAAGAGAACAGGCTATACCTACCTCAGCTAGTTGGTGAGGCTGAAACTGTGAGTCCCTCGAAGGTCAAGCAGACATCAGAGAAAGTGGCTGGACTCAACTTGTCCTTCCTGTGCTACTCGCAACTGTGCTGCCTACCAGACACAGGGAGGCAGGTAGCGGGAGGCTGTAGGGTAGACTCCACAGCGAAAGCTGAATGGGGTGGGGGTGGGAAATAAGAGGTTGGTCTCCATCAGGGAATTACCACCAGGCCCTTCAAAGACACTAGAAATGTCTGCTGTGAAAAAGCCTAGCCCGTGACTCTGTCACCAAGAGTATCAACAAGCTGTCAGTGTTGGCCTGAGATACACAACCGCCCAACAAGACAGTACCAGTGGGCACATGTGTAAAGAGATTATGTAAAGAGATGCTTGTCTTTTTCCTTTTCCTTCTATCAGGGACAACATGCTCGAGAAACCAAGGTCTCAAGAGAGAGGAGGTGCTCCGAGCTGGGGAGGAGTAAAGTAAGGTAGGTGAGATTTCAACTGAGGGTGAGTACCTGGAATACCTGGACCATACCCCGCATTTTTACCTAGAGGTACACACCGGTCTGGCTTTCAGTGGCCACAAGCTGCAGATCTCTGCCTGTAGACTTTCAGTGGCCACTGATGCCCTCCCTCTCAGCCTACAAAGAAGTGCTGGGAATAGACATCTCCTAGGAGCAGTCCTCATCCACAGCTTGGTATTCTTTGCTTGGGTAGACTAACTCTGAGTAGCTTGCTCTACACTCTATTCATTATCTGTTGCTGTATAACAATTCACCCTCAAAACAATTTACTCTCAAAAGCAACTTGAGACAACAGTAATGGCTACTACCTCCTAATTTCTTGCTTGGGTGATTCTGGCTCCCGGTCACTCATGATTCTGCAGTAAGAGGTTAGCAGTCAGCTGAAGGCTCGACTGGGGCTTAGTGGTCTGCTTCCAAGTGAGCTCCTTCCCTCATCTGGCAAGGTGACTATTGGCAGTAGGCTTCAGCTCATCACCACATAGACCTCCGCATAGCATGTCTGGAGTGTCCTCACGATGTTTACTGGCTTCCCCGGGGGCTGTCATCCAAGAAAGAGACCAAAGTGAGAATAGCAAGGTCTTTTATGATCTACCCTCAAAAGTCAGATAGTTCCATAATTATTTACATTAATGATCATGATTTTTATTGATCAGGAATCTGCACATAGCTTAGCTGGGTATCTTTTGTTGCTTCTGCCTCAGAATCTCTCTCAAGGCTGCAGCCAGAACTCATCTGGGGTGGGGCGGGAGGGGGGTTCCATGACCAGTCTCACTCAGGGGACTGTTGATTGGGAACACCAGTTCCCCATCACGTGCACCTCTCCAGAAGGAAATTCACAACATGGTGATTGGTTTCTCCTCAGAGTCAGTGAAGAAAAAGAGCAAGAGAACACAAGTGAGGGAAAAGCCAGAGACTTTGTAGCCAAGTTTCATATGACAACCATCACCTCTGCCATCATCTTTTAGTTAGAACCAAATCACTTCTATTGGTTATAAGTGGCTCCACTCTAGGGGAGATGATTACACAAGGGCATAAATACCAGGAGGTGGAGGTGACTGGGGCCATGTCAGAAGATGTCCACCATAGACAACCTCACTTCTGCCATGCTCTACTGGACAGACATAGTTCAGTGTGGGAGAAAATTACTTAAGGGTGTGAAGACCAGGTAAAGATCCCTGAGAGCCAACGCAAAAATGGTGCCCAAAAAATGGTTTCCCAGTGTGCCCAAGAGATTAAGCTCATGTTGATAATGCATTTCTGACATCCTCCTTGCTTTCCCTGGCTCACTTGCAAGCTTTCTTACTGGTCTTTCCTGACATCATCTCCCAAATAAGCCACTTGCCCATGAAACTTCCTCTTGGCATCTACTTCCGGGAGAATCCAGACTCAGGCTAAGAGTAGAAGGAGACTTACATGAAAGTACATGTGTGTGTTAGGAACAATGCAAAATCCATTCCTCACTGTGGAATACAGCAAAAATTTTGAAAGTCGTGATAGCAAGTACTATAGGATTTTAGAGAGTGGCTGGTTTCATTTAAGCCAGATGAAATCTAGAAAGACCAGACCTTTGAGGAGAGTCACAGGGCATAAAGACAAAGATACCTGAGAATCTGGACAGCATATGGAGAAACAATGACGTAGAAAACTGGGGCTATGGCTTCTTGAGCTAATTCCCCACTTGTCTTTTGGGAGTTACAGCTATACTTTTATCTACCCCCTTGCTTCAACTGAGACCTCATGTCAAGGTGCCCATATTCTGCCTGAGTGCCAGTAAAGCTTCATACCCAGCAAATATTCGCACTTTCCTGAGAGTGAATTGCTCTGTAACCAAATCATAGAGATGAACTCTGAAAACACTTCACAGCACTGGGCGGGGGCACGGGGGAGCTTCCCAGGAGTAACCTAAGTCACTTGAAACAACTGTACAATTTCATACATTTTTCAAAACTTACTTTGAGACTGACTCTAGATAGACAGATACCAAATGGCTCTTGACCTCTAAGTACCAAGAAAATGCCCAGGAGAAATCAAGGCCTTCCAAGGCACTCAGTCGTGGGTCTATCAAGGGCTGACTAGAGAGCTTAAATCCAAATTAATTACCCAGACATCTCTAGTTCAGAAGTTGGGCCACTGACAAACTCATCAGCATGCAACAGCCGCACCATTCCCACAGTGAGAAGAAAAGGAAGCAGGATAATGAGGACAGCAGATAAAAAGGTGACCATGGAGGAGGATCTTAATTGTATCTTAATTGAGTCCCACACTTTCTCCTTCATGCAGATCCCAGCCCTCAAGTCAAAAAGAGACTGGCCCCTCTGCTGGGGTGTTTTCCTGTGTCCTCCCCATGTCTGGGATCCAAGGTCAATCTACAGTGGCATTCTATTAGAAAACAAATGTATTAGTTAACTGTTGCTACAATAATGCTCCCTAACAAACAGCCCCGCACCTTAGAAATGATCCCTCATTTTCACTCATGCATCTGTGGACTGCAGGTATGCACGTCAGTTGGAGGCTGGCTGATCCGGGCTGGATTTGGCCGGGTGGCTCTACCTCAAGCTTTGGTTGAAGTTCACCTTGGCTGTCACTGAGGTTTGGCTCATATCTACTCCACAAGTATTCATTCTAGCCTTGGAAGGATGCAGATACAGAAGGTCTTCTTTAACACACAAGAAAAAAAGCAGAAACATCTGAAGTCTCTTAAGGCCTGAGCTTGGAACTGGCAGCCTCCTCCCTCACTTCTGCCCAAATATCAATGGTCCAGGGAAGTTACATGCCAAGCACAAAGTTGAGGAGTGGAGATGACACCCCCGCCTACACTGAGGCCACAGCAAGGGTGAGGATGGAAGGCAGAGGCAACAGTTCCAGCTACCAAAGCCTGGGCCTTGCCTCCAGACTCAAACTGAAGCCATGACTGTAGAGACTCCAGAGTGAGACTCATGTGTTGTTTTTCTGGTAATTAGGAAGTACGGAGGTGAGAGAGACATGCTCATCTACCTGGTCACCGCCAAAGCCGGAGGACAGTGATATAGAACACGGCCCACTTCATTTGTGCTGCAGGACTGGTCAGTATAGATCATTGCATTCAGGGGCCTGTATTGTCCCAATTAGCTTTTACTGCTGTCCAAAGAAGTGTGGATTTTTCTCTGATGTTGTAATGTGAGGGTAATTGTGGGTAGTGTGGTGATTCCAGGGAAAGAAAAAGGCCTTTCTTCAAAGACAGATGTGCTACACTACAATTATGGATGCTTCACAATCATCCCATTTCTTTTACATTGGTTTTGGCTTATGTAATTGGCTGGCAAACTACTTCTGGGAAGGCAAATTCCTCATTTCTTTTCTAAAGGTGGAGTTAAAAAAAAGTTTTTTGAGTTGGATTAACAAAAACAGAAAATGACTCCAGATGATTCCCACCTGCATTGCGTGGAGTCAGTTGTGACAAAAGTGCTTTCTCAGGCCCTGTATACACTCCCCGGTGTACACAGAGTCACAGCACATGGACACGTGGGTGGCACCTATTTTGAATGAGGCTGTGCACCCAGGCACCCAGGGAGCGAGTAGGGGAGAATTCCAGCCTGGCCTTCACTGGCCAAGGCAAGCACAGAGTAGGGACTATATTTCTCCAAGAAAGGAGTACCTTGGACAATCTGCCCACAAGGGGCCCCATTTGGTAATTAGCAGAAAGATGAATCTCCAACAAAGGGGACCTGATCTCCTTGGAAGACAGATGTGCAGCCCTCTCAAACTGCCCAGAGTCTGTCCAGAGCACAGGGCCTCTCATAATGTGACAAACTGGATTTCTCTTCCCAGCTCTTCCCCCCACCACCACCACCACAACCACCACAGCATTATGCACCACTGCATCCTTTGCCCTCAACACTGAGATGCCAGCCACTAGCGAGACAGGAGGTACGTCTCTATCCTCTCACAACTCACGATGTGACTTGCTCTGCCCCATGGAAGGTCAGTGAACATGAACTAAGCAGAAGCTTTCAATGCACTTGTTTCATTTCTCTTGACCTCTTGAGCCTCTGCCATCTGCCATAAGAAGGGTATGTTCCCAGGACCAGAAGGAGGAGGCCAAGGTGACTGACAGCCTAAAACAAAGCCACCTTCACCACCTCGCAAACCCATCAGCAACAACAATAAATGTGTTATTGATTATGCTGCCTAACTGCAATAATGACTGACTAATAAAATGCTGATTCATGGAAGGGGATAAACTCTCCTCTCAAAGCAGAAGCCTAGGCAGCCCAGCTAACAGAAAGCATCCAGGGGTGAAAAGAAAACATAGAAACCAACCCAATAGTGTGCCAGACTGAGCAGAGAGGCAGACTCCAGCTGGAATAGAAACTGTGGGCACCAGACAAGAATAAGTGAGCCCAGAAGAGAAGTTGCAAATGTTGCCCAGCCAGGCTCTGGAGCTGAGCCTCCAGGATGTTCCACAGAATGCCTGAGGTTCCACTGTGAGCGCGGAGAGGCGATGGAGCATCCTGAGTGCCCAGACGCTGTGATGCAATTTTAGGAGGCCCCCACCCAAAAAAAAATTTAGGAAGCCCCAAAGTGAGTGCCACCCATTGGGACAAGGCCGCCAGGCTGAACACCAAGGGACAGGGAAGCCTATAGCAGAGCCGACTTCTCCGGCGCCCACCCCTTGCTCTCAGCACGGGGAGCTGCGTGTGCCCTGAGGCTAGCCCGTCCGAGGGCTGTGGCGGACACTTGTCCGGAGGCTCTCCCCTGAGCCCGGGGGCTGCACACCTGGCAGAGCTGCCTCCTCGCTGCTTTCCTTAAGCTTCGATAGCTACTCTACCCAGCTGCAGTTGATTTGGTTACACAAATACAGAAGCATTTCTCACCACTGTGGCAACAAGTGAAAGAATATTCAGGTTTTATGGGTTTGTGGGGAGAGAGAGACTGGAAAGGGAAAGGGCATGCCTGCCCTGTACTACTTCTAAACCACAGCAAATGCCAAAGTCAAAAGTTTCATTACCAATGGACAATTGGGAAATCGAGCCCACATGCTCTGTGTGTCATGCCTGGACAGAGACACTTGGCACGCCATCCCGAGGGACCTGCTTTCCAGATATGACTGCCAGACCCCAGGGCCAAAAGGACAATGACATCTGGATTCGGCCATTTAAATCAGTTTTTAACAAGACCCAGGAGGAACATCTTTGCTAAGGACTTTTGAATAACAGAAAGATTCTGTAAAGAACAAGTGGAGAGGGCCTCCCTGGTGGCACAAAGGGTTAAGCACCACACTATGGGGCAGTCCGCAGCCTCTGCAGCGCAAGTTCGATCCTCAGCCAGCCAGGGAGCAACCCACTTGGCGAGGCAGACCTCTCCTGTTTCGCACACTGCTCCCCTCAGCAGTGTATCTCAGTCAATCTGCCTGTTCTGTTCCCCACTCTGTCTCTGGTAGATCCTCTCACCCCCCACATCTCTGGCCTGTACCCCAGCTCTTGTATGCATAAATAAATAAATAAATCTTAAAAAAAAAAAAAGAGTAAGTGGACAGAGGCCTCCCTAATGGCACAAGGG